AATATGAAAATTTCTCTCAAACTTACTTAAGGAAAGGGTTGTTTCAAGATTTAAAAGAAATGTGACAGTAATGTCTGTTTTGTTTACTGTTAAATCACTACCATGGTAGGTATTTACAAATATTTGTCCAGCGAATGAATAAGAGTTTGTTTTTGGTGAATTTGCCACTGTTTTCAAGTGCATAACATACTTATAAGATTCTGAAAAGGAATTTTTAGACAGTTGAGCATCTCCATATTAACTAATTGTTGCATTAAATAATCTTCCCCACATTAACTTAATTGTGGTTCTTTTTTGAGAAGTTTTTTAATTGTGGAAGATATGATTCAAATAGAAGAACAAAACATTTATGTAGTTTAACCAGTTAACTGCCATAAGTGTCTATAGATGCAAGAGGCGAACCTTTTTTAATCAAATTCAAAATATCATGGCAGTTAACTGGTTAAAAAGCAAACACCTGGTTAAGAAGCAGAACACTGTGAGTATTTGAAAAGCCCCCAGGTGTTTTCCTCCCATTGCAAGCTCTCTTCCTTTATCCCCAGAGATAGTCACTTTGCTTGGTTTTATTTTTAAGATCTTTGAATATATCAAAATATATCCTTAAGTAGTTGTTTAATTTTGAGAATCGGACTAGCAAGCATAAATCTTAACTGTAAAGAAAGAGTAATATTGCTACTATTAGATGAAGTCTCACTGAAGGAGGTAGGTGAATAGTCTCATTTCTGCTTTCCTGAGAGTTGACAAGAACTCTTTTCAGGGAAGTCCATGGATAAGACTTTGAGTGAATCCTGGAAAATAGCATCTGTTTCCCATAGTTGGACATCTGGCAGTACTGTGGTACCAATACTGTATAGAAAAAATAAAAAAAAAAACAAAAACACCGAGTGACATAAATGGAAAAATAGGAAGAATCAATATTATAAATTCTCTTTAAATCCTGTCTAAGATTTCTGTTCATGTATCATCTAATCTTTGAGAGTTTTTTAGATCAACCAAATAAAGTTGCTTTATTTTTCACTATAATGCTTATCCCCATCTAATAGAAATATATAGTTACTTACTTACTTGTCATTTTCCCCTTTCTGGTGTGTAAACTTAAAAAGATATGTATATATCCTACACCCAGAGTGGAGAATGGCAGAGCCCTAACTGTCCCAACCAACTTCTGCCTCCATTCCCTTTTTCCAGAAGATTGGGGGAAAAAAACACATCAAAATGATATGCCTGTGAAGAAAGTGCAACATGTTTAGAAACACTGGTAAGAAAAGCTTTGAAAAACACCATCAAGGGTATCCCACTACAAGGTGATCAGATTCCCCTTTTCTGGAAATCCTGTAGCCAAAGGACGTCACTTTCTGTTTCCCTTTCTAACAGACCAGACTTCTGGATTAGGCATTTTGGCTGCCTATGGACTAATAATTGCAAGACCACAATACAGGGCCCAATTCCAGCTACAAAATTACTCAGTGCCAATGAATGATGTGATGGTACCTTATAATCCTCTGGGAAAATTTTCCCATCTAACCCCAGAGGTGGGAGGTGCAGGTCTAGGACATATCCAGGCCCAGACCAAATGGCAGTGCTTGGACTGCAACCAAGTAATCACTGCAAAGTAGTTCCAAGTAGCAAGAAATTACATCCAGATTCTCATGGAGACTACTGTAGGATGTAGAGTAGGAGCATGAGAGCAGTCAAACCTCGTGTAAATAATGTTGCTTTGCTTTTTAAAAAAATTAATGAGGGTCTGCTCATCTTTCTCCCCTTATTGAATGTAGACTTACAGGATATGTTTTATGCACTGGTTTCCCCAGCACATAGGAAGCATTCAGTGATTGTGAATGAATGAATGAAAATGAATAAATAAATACTAGTACAACTGTCCTTTCTCTCATAATTCACTTACTGTCTATTCCATAGTTTTTTGGTCATTAATTTTGTTCAGTTTAGCATCTTATAATGCTTTGTATTATTTTCTTTTGGTTCAGTGTCTAATTGTTTCATTCCTATAAGACAGTCTTCTCTGTGCTCCTTGATGGAAAGAGACAAATGCTTCCCTGTATACCTCACAGTGCAAGGCAGATGGATATAACTTGTTGAATTGAATACATGCATTTATTCATAATGACTTAAATTGCTAAAGTCCTGATTGCCTTCAACAAAAGTATTTTTATTGGATTCTAAATGAAATAGGGTTTTTTGTTGTTTTTTTAATTATGGATAATTTTTGGAGATGTTTTGCGCTCATGATAAATTTTGCTAAGTGGAAGTTGGAAGTTTAGTGATTATAATTTCACAAATTTCTACACACAGTTTGAATTGAAAATAGCACAATTTTCAGTGAGATATGGATTTCTTACCTGGAAATGTTAATTTAAAAAATAAGTTATACTGAGAACCGAAGATGGCGGCATAGGTTAACGCCGGAGATTGCCGCCTTGAACAACCAATTCAAATTAAGCTTGAACCAGGGACCCACAACATCCAGAAACACAGGCGGGCTGGCTGAGTGGAAATTCTACAACTAGGAGTAAAGAGAATATTATATCCAGACTCAGAGGGGCCGCAGTGCTGAAGTGAAATTCTCAGGTACCGAGTGCGCGCGGAGCGGGGCTGGCGGCGCGGAGGGCGCGAGTGTTTACAATTGGGAGGGAGTCGTGGACTTTGAGCTCCAGATCCGGGTGAGTCGCTGGGGACGCAGATTCAAACGGGAGAGGCAGGACTGTCTGGGCTCGGTTGGAACTCGAGGGGAGC